AAAAATTAATACTTTTATATTTTTTTGATCTCCCTGTTTGATATACAATGGTTATTGATTCAGACAGGTCGAATATGACAACTTTCTTTCACCTATAAACTATATTTCATCTTTCAATATGCCGAATTTATGATTTAACCTACGCTTATTCAAGATAATGTTTTTGTATATTATTTCGTGTATTTTTCATTATATTGATTTTATGGAAAGCACTGTTCATTAAAATGTTGTATCCCATGTTATACGGCTTGTTTCTCTCTACAATTTCCTGTCTCACAATGTACCGTTTGTGTCCGGGAAGGGTTCATAGTTTCATAGTTGTCGTTTTTCGAAAGAAATCAGTACATTTATATTATTTCGTATATTTTTCATTTTATTGATTTTATGGAAAGCACTGTTCATTAAAATGTTGTATCGCATGTCATAGCGCTTGTTTCTCTCTACAATTTCCTGTCTCACAATGTACCGTTTGTGTCCGGGACGGGTTCATAGTTTCATAGTTGTCGATTTTCGAAAGAAATCACTACATGTATATTATTTCGTATATTTTTCATTTTATTGATTTTATGGAAAGCACTGTTCATTAAAATGTTTTATCCTATGTTATAGGGCTTGTTTCTCTCTATAATTTCCTGTCTCACAAAGTACAGTTTGTGTCGGGGTTAAAAATTAGTAGTTTCGAAAAATGTAATAATATACCGGGTGTTTCATTTAAAATAACAAAGATGCTACCACTTTTAGTAATGCTGAAAAAAAATTAGACAGATGGAGTAGGTGCCTTTATACAAAAATCCAAATTTAAAAAAAAAATCCTATCACCGGTTCTCCATAAACGTCTAACGATCCATGGCCGTGAACCACCCTGTATATCGAAATTCGCACAAATAGAGTCAAGTTTTCTACGCTTATTTCTTACTGGTTGCAGTTTCACCAAGGAAGAACAACACGGGAAGTGAAAGTAACGATTTCTCACGTCTATCGACGTAACGAATTGATCGAAAACCACAACAACAATAACTATCATTAATAATTATGTTACAAGTCTGGTAGGTAATAGACTAAAACAGGTTGATAGATGAATTTTGATGTTTCTTGGATATTTTTCGGGAAAAAATAGATCATTAGTGAATCACCCGGTTGCGTGAGGAAATTATAAAACCGTCGATGTTAAAAATAGACGGAGAATTGACGTTTTTCGAAGCCAGATGGAAGTGTAGTAACGGTATAAACACCTTCACATCAGAGAGAATTTCATTCACGGGAATATCAAATAATTTCAAGGAGTTTGGTTTATTTTTATAAGAAATTATGATTATTTTTATTAAAATTGGTCATTTTTAATCAAATTTCAAATTTTTTTCCATAGCGAGTTACATTTCAAAAAATATTATTTCAAGGAATTTATTACGAGTAGAAAAAATATTGTGCTGGGTTGGCGTTGGTTTCTATGTAATTTGACAAATAAATAAAGCTGTCTTTTTAGTTGTCAGTTTTGAGTCAATATTTTTTAATTCTCTTTCGTGTCGATTGCTGATTGAATTAGAGCCAGAAATGGCTCAAAACGAAATGAGTAAATTACCAACAGATATTCAGGCTGAGGCGACAAACGCCATATCCAAACTACTTCCATTTAAATCCCGAATAACTTATGAAAAGGAATACAAAAATTCTCAAAAATGGAGGCAATTAAAAACGTGCGAGAAGAAATAAAGTTTTTAACCTATCCTCGCTGTTAAAGTATCATTTAATCCACCTTTGCGGTTAAAGTACTATTTTATCTACTATTTTTGATAGATATGAGGCAATTTTAACAGTAAAAAATGACGTCTACAACCAAAATTATAGTCTATAAAATGAATAACTTTGAATTTGGACCGTTATTTTTTACCAACATGGCAAATATAAAATCCCTCTATCAAAAAAGTTACTGATATTCTTTAAATTGAGTGCCTGAACGAATCAGATAGGTAACTCTTTTTACTTTCGTGAAATAGAAAAGGAAAATAATAAAACAAGTGACAGTTCTTCCTCTTCTTGCAAAAATCAAAACGAAATGTCATAATTGACAAAAGTAAAATGTCATCAGCTTTTGACATTTCTAAATATTAGACCAATGCCGTCTCTAATAGAACAGCCACGGACCGAGATTTATGACGTCACGCTAGTTAGATACTACGGATTAATAAATATGTTGTAGAATACATGGAAAACGTAATTATTCCTCGTATTTTTGGTTTGTATTTTAAAAATGATATAGTTTACATGAAATATACATAATATACAGTTAATAAATACAATATAATATATACCTATTTATAGTAATAAATACTTTGGCAAATAAACTATGAACCATACAAATGCAGCAAATATTTTACAATATACAAATAATAAATAGTTGGTGCATAAGATAATGGTTGGATGGTTGGTGCATAAGATATTTTAAATTTTGGGGTTTGAAAATCGATCTAATTTAACAAAAAACATTCAATATCTACTAATAGTGTATTATTATTTGCAATCACAAAATGTATTTATATATTATAATGTTTACTGCAATTAATAAACTAATATAAACTTGTCAAAAGATGACCACATATTTTTTTAAATTATTATTCTTAACACAAAAACTATCTACATTGACTATGCAGTACGATTTCAGCCATATTGTAAAACATTTGCTGCATTTGTATGGTTTATAGTTTATCTGCCAAAGTATTTATTACTATAAATAGGTATATATATATATATATATATATATATATATATATATATATATATATATATATATATATATATATATATATATATATATATATATATATATATATATATATATATATATATTGTATTTATTAACTATATATTATGTATATTTCATGTAAACTATATCATTTTTAAAATACAAACCAAAAATACGAGGAATAATTATGTTTTCCATGTATTCTACAACATACTTATTAATCCGTAGTATCTAACTAGCGTGACGTCATAAATCTCGCTCTGAGGCTATTCTATTAGAGACGGCATTGCGTCAGCATGGCCGCAAGTTGATAACCTAATAAAATTAACACTAGAAAAGCCCGCGAGAACTGTCAAATTCAAAGTTATTCGTTTTACAGACTATATCATCGATTGCCATTTCTCAGCTCTTTTTGACGCCGTTTTTTTCTCGATCATACGGTATATGAAAAATGAAAGCAAAAAACTAGAGAATCATCAAAGTTTCAGTGATTTTTTACTTAACCGATCAAAACAAAATCCACTGAAAGTTTGTTGTTAATCATGATGTTTAATTTAGTATTTTTTAATATTAAAAATTCTAGAAAATGTCGAAGAAAAACCGGAAAGATTAATATACTTTTTTCATGTTTCCCAATTTAATTTATTAATAATTATTTTACAATTATGTTATCAAATTTGACTGTTTTCGATAGTGAATAATTCCTATAAAATGATATAGAATTCCTTTGTCATTAGCTAATTTTTCTGGTTTATTTAGTGTTTTCCCAACTTGGGTAATAATAAGATTGAAAATGATTTAGGTATATGTGTTTATTTTCAAGAATAATGGTAAACCGTTTTTCTTGAAATTTGATACATTTATTTATGATTTATTCATTGTTTTTGTTTGTTGTTCCTTAATCATATGATCCCAGAAACTAATTTACCAAATACTTATATCATATTAAAAGGAAAATTATATAAACAATACATCAGTGTTTATTTTTACAACAAAATTACATCTGTACAATATATTACCATTAATTTGATTTCACAATATTATTTACTATCTAGACGATATGGGTCAACAAATTAGGCAACCTCATAAAAAGGTTTTGAATATTAAATGGACTGGGATAAAAATAATTGCCTTTTTTCAAGTTTGTGACGTACGTTTTTGACGGTGTATTTTTTATCGTTTTTGAAATAAATAACAATAATATATAAGCAGTTTGAGAATTAAAAGGCATTCCTGACTTTTAGATAACAAAAAAATCGATAAAAAAATACAAAATGAATTAAATATTAATTAAAAATATCTTAAAACAAGTTTTTTGATTTATAATGACTATATCTCTGTGGACTATATCTTTTTTTAAAAAACAGACTGGACAGGTAAAAAAATCTGAAGTATTCTTGTGTTGGTTATATTTAAATATTTAAAATTGGTTTTCTTATTTTTTTTTGTCTTTATGAATTCTGATGATGGGGGAGATATTTATACCCCCTGAAACGTTAAAAATTTTCCGAAATTCCAGTTCCAAGGGGGTGAAACCACCACTCAAATATTACAATATTTTTTAGTTAAAAAACAGTCAAGTTTCCGAAAAAACGCTTAAACACGTATATTTTATTTCGTTTTTTTACATAGTTTAAGATTTTTTAAAAATGTATACAGGGTGTATTCGAAAAATCTGGTCATTGATTAATCACGATCCTGCTTAAAGCGCTTGACGTAAATAGCTGATTTTTGGAAAACGGATTGACTTTAGGGTGTAGAGGTTCGATAAGAAGGGATTTTTCGAAACTCGAATTCTAAGGGGGTGAAACCACCCCTCAAATATTAGAATATTTTTTATTTAAAAACCGGTGAGTTTTTCGAAAAAACTCTTAAACACGTGTATTTTATTTTGTTGTTTTACATATTTTAAGATTTTTTAAAATTTATACACGGTGTTTCATAAAATATGACCATTGAGTAATCACGATTCTGCTTAAACTGCTTGACGTTTAAAGCTGATTTTTGGCAAACGGATTGACTGTGATGGGGTATAGAGGTTCGATAAGGAGGGGTTTCTCGAATCTCAAATTCCAAGAGGGTGAAAACGCCCCTCAAATATTACAATATTTGCTATTTAAAAAACGGTTAGTCTTTCGGGAAAACGCTTGGACACGCATAATTTATTTTGTTTTTTTACATATTTTGAATTTTTTTAAAAAATCATACAGGGCGTTATATAATGCTGATAAAATAATGATTTTTTTTGTTTTTGTTCTAGTGAGAAAAGATCCAGAAATCCTTACAACCATAGTACCAGTTGTTGGACCCAATTCAACCCACATGGTTTGCCCGCATTGCGGAGCAGAAATTGATACCAGTACCAAGTCAAAACCAGCGAAAAAAGCTTACATCTCCAGTGTAATCCTGTGTATAATTGGGTAAATATTTTTTAAATAAAAAAAACCGTAACTGAAAAAAACAAAACCTTTTTAAATTAGTTATTAATGAGTCTTTGGTACTTCCAGAACAAACTAGGACATCCTGTATACGGAATTTTTCAGTTCATTAGTCCTACTACCGGTTGAAATTGAGTAAATTTTCGGTCTTTAACGCGAATTATAGGAAAATTTCCACAAACGCATTATTTTCCAATTTGGAAATGGTACTTCAACTATGAAAATTTGTCATAGGTATAAAATGTATAATTATATATATTAAAGCAATAATTATATACAAATTGATCAAATTATGATACTTTGTATTTCTTTTTAACTTTTGGCGTGTAAAATTTTTATTTTCTTTTTTATGGCAGTACCAAATGACGTTGACACTTGTTTTTTTTTTGTTTACAACTGTGTTAAGACGTACGATAACAAAACTTTTTTTTAATTAAACCAGCTAATTGATTTCCACAATTGAATTAGAGGAATATTATTGTTTACAATGTTTTCAATAATTAATAACTAAGTTAAGTAAAGGTAAAAGTTGACATGAATAACATTTAGGGTATAATCATTATAGATTGTTAGTTAAAATTAAATGAAAAAAATATTTTTAAATGCTATGAATTATTCCTTAATATCCTGTACGATTAATCAAAAAAAGAAAAGTTATTTTTGTGGGAAATTTTGAAAAAAAAAACAGTTTTTTTGTTTATCAAGTTTGTATTTATAATTTTTTTTAAACTATACAGGATGTTTCAACACAAATGCGAAAAACTTCAGGGGGTGATCCCTTGTTCAAAATAAAGGGTAGTTTGCTTTATAAACGTTGGGTCAAAAGTCAACCATTAGGGAGATATCGCGGTACAAAGATGGCGGAAAAATAAAGTTTTTATTTTTTATCTTGAAAACGGAAAGAGATAGACTAATGAAATTTTATGGAAGCAATACTGTTATGAAAACACACTTTCTGGTAATTTTTTCACTTTTTTAAAATGAGTGGAAGGGGTTGAAATAAACTACCCCTATCATTCTTGTTAACGAAATTTAGAGAAAAATCTTATCAAACACATGCAAAAAAAATAATTTGGATAGTTTAGTTTGTTTAGAAACTTTTTTATCTCTTTAGCCGCTGTTACTTTTTAGGATGTTCCTAATATTATTTTATTTGACATTACTCTACTGCAATAAGTTATTATCTAGATGATTATTATTATCGTTATTATCACTACCTAGATTCTTAATCTAAAAATGTTTTTTGTCCTGACATGTAATGCTTACATTTTATTTTTTAATTTCAAATCGGTGAGTTTTATCAAAAAAATACAAGAGATAAAAAAGTTTCTAAACAAACTAAACTATCCAAATTAATTTTTTTGCATGTGTTTGAGAAGATTTTTCTTTAAATTTCGTTAACAAGAACGATAGGGGCAGTTTATTTCAATCCCTTCCACTCATTTTAAAAAAATGAAAAAATTACCAGAAAGTGTGTTTTCATAACAGTAATGCTTCCATAAAATTTCATTAGTCTATCTCTTTTCGTTTTCAAGATAAAAATTAAAACATTATTTTTCCGCCATCTTTGTACCGCGATATCTCCCTAATGGTTGACTTTTGACACAACGTTTATGAAGCAAACTACCCTTTATTTTGAACAAGGAATCATCCCATGAAGTTTTTCGCATTTGTTTTGAAACACCCTGTATACGATATAAAACTTCAATATACAGGGTGGTCCGAACTGTATTCCGGAAACTTCGGCAGCATGTTCTGCAGAAAAAAAATAAGTAAAAAAGTTCGTATAAATGTGTATCCTAAAATGCTTAATTTCGGAGATACAGGGTGTAGAAATTTCATTTTTATTTCGATTTTTTCCGAATAATTTCTGAAGTAACGTCAATATTTGTGAAATTTGTGATGAAAATTGGTGTCAAATAAATTATTTGGAAAAAATCGAAATAAAAATGAAACTTCTACACCCTGTATCTCCGAAACATTTTAAGACATACATTTATACGAACTTTTTTACTTATTTTTATCTGCAAAATATGATTCCGAAGAATACAGTTCGGACCACCCTATAGAGAAGCTTTATACTGAAATTAGAAGGGTTTTTGAATTTCATCATTGGCAGAAATATTTAGTACAAAAAATTGCCAAAATTCTACGATTTAAGAACAATTCATGTTATTTTTATGATCGAATAACAAATCATTTTTGTATTTCAGATGTTTCTGGGGTTGCTGTCTGATCCCCTTCTGCATGGACTCTTGCAGAAACGTCAAACACAAATGTCCGAACTGCGATTCGTACTTGGGCACCTACAAGCGATAGAACCGGATCAAAACTGTTTTTTTTGACATACTGTATATATCATCGTACCACGTACCACTCACAGTTCTCCAGAAGAAACACTCTTTAACATATAACAGTGTTTATATGCCTTTATTTTTTTAGACTGGTGATTTTCAGTATAGAAACTTCCAAAACAAATTTTTGGGCATACTGTATATATCACCATAGCACTTTCCACTCACACATCTTCGGCAAAATGACATTTTAACATGTAACAGATTTTATAAGCCTTTACTTTTTTTAATAAGTGTCTTTTTAGTATCGAAATGTGTAAAACCATTTTTTGGACATCCTGTATATATAACCGTGAGCTACTGCTGACCTTGTGTCTTTAACAAACAACATTTTTTTAACATATAACAGTGTTTTTAAGTCTTTTTATTTTTTATAATGTTCTGAACATCAAACTGTTTACCTAACTGCACCAATGAACGACAATTTAAGCATTTTTTATTAGGGAGTTTTAGCAAATCACCGATAAACGTTATTTTTATAGTTTTGCCTCTCTATTATTTAACAATTTTAAATATTTTTATTTTTAGAAATTTATTTACTTATTTTATTATGTTCAGCTTGCAATTTTTTTGTAACCAGAAGAAAAAATTGGTCCTCATGTATTTTTAATCCAGTAGTTTCCACTGGATATTTTTTATAGCTTTAAATATATTGCAATAAATTAACTATTATAACCAATGACTAAAGACTACAAGGACCAATAAACCCCGATACCAAATTGTTACCATACCTCCAAACAGTGCCGTGCCTCATATTTTTCTAAACTTAGCTGCTTGAAGAGATTTGTATATTTTTCATAAATGTTTTGACTAGGCCTATGGTGTATGCTGCTTATTTACGTGGTATCATACAAATTAATTACAGAAAAAAACGTTTTAAAATGTTAACAGAAGGTACGAAACAACACAAATTCTGCTTGTTAAGTGTCCTTGTATTCTTTAGTCACTGATAGCGATGGCTATGAACTGAAGATCGCCCATTTCCAAGCCAACTGGACGCCGTTTTTTTTCGATCATACGGTATATTTACCGATTATAACAGTACGAAAACTCTACCAACTGCCATAATTTATTACATCCCATTTTGCAAAACTTCGCGGTGTGTGTAGTCACTGTTTATTTTTAAAATTTAGAATAGTTATACATATTTATGAAAGTGCTTGGCCGATTATGTCATAGTACTGTAACACAGAGTGCAAGTGGTGTATGTTTTTTAAACTAAAATACCGTTAAGGTGTCTTTACACGACCGCAAACTATATATTATGTAGAACAGGCCTTAGAAAACGTCATCCAAGTTGTTTTTTTGTAATAAAAATGTTTTTTTTCGCATAATTTATATTTATTAACATGTAAATCACCGAATCATTATTCATTGTTTATGTATAGTTGTAAAAATCTACTAATTGTTATTAAAATAAACTTATTTTTTATATAACTACCAAACGAGTATTATTAGGGGGGGTCATATACGGGGTGGCGTCTCTCATTTGCGGAGGCTCCACGGAGAACGACAGTTTGTATTTAAACGAAATTTTGTGAGCATATGTAGGTTAATTCAGGGCACTTTTTAAAAATATAGAGAGTTCTACAGGGTGTCCTAAAAAAAGTTACAGATCAAAGTTGTGTTTTTTGTAATGGAACACCCTATATATTAATTAATTTTCGGATGGGAGAAAAATAAAGGTGAGTTTTATTAGAGAAGTATATGACTAAAATGTAAGGTTTTTGACATATTTAGCATTTTCTAAAAATGAAGAACAATTTTTAAATTACAATAAAAGCTATCTAAATTGGAATTTACCCAGTATAATATCCTAATATGTAGTTAGATTAACTATATACTTAAAATCACATTAAAACTTAATCCAAAAATTATACAGGGTGAGACAAAATTAATATTGAATATTGATCACCTTTAAAAGCATGTTACTCTTTTATTTTAAATGGAACACTCAGTATATTATTCCGATATTCAATGGAGAATTCATGTCTCTTCAAAATACTATTAATGTTGCCTACCCCTATTTTTGTTAAATTAACAAAAGGTATATCACAGCCACCCTAGATTTTTTCCAATAATAAAGATCTACTGACGCAAAATCATAAAAATTAAAATATCTAGGAAACACTTTGTCTGAGGGGTAGGCAACCTTAATAATATTTTGAAGATATATAAATTCCCCATTGAACACCGGAATAATATACTGGGTGTTCTATTTGAAATAAACGAGTAACTTCCTTTTAAAAGTGACTAATGTTCAATATTAATTTCGTCTCACCCTGTATAATTTTTCGGGTCAAATTTCAATTTGGTTTAACATACAATGGTTACTGTAATTAAATATCAGACTATACAAGGTCAACGAAAATTTAGGTAGCTGTTATCGAAATTTAAAATTTACCCCTCATTTTCACAAAATGTGAAATATGTCAAAATCCTTAGATTTTAGGTATATGCTTCTTTAATAAAACTCACCTTTATTTTTTTCCTAGAATCCGAAAACCAATTAATATATAGGGTGTTCCATTAGAAAAAGCACAACTTTGATGTGTAACTTTTTTTTGGGACACCCTGTATAACTCTATATATTTTTATAAAATGCTTTCAGTTAACCTACATATGCTGCCGAAATTTTATTTCGATATAAACTACCGTTCTCTTTGGAGCTTCCGCGGCGTATTTTGAAAAACTCCAAAAAAATTTGGGTTCAATTTTCTAGCTGAACCGTAGGTCCCACAGAAAATTTTATGGAACAAAAAATAAGGAGAATTAAATATTCTCTACCCGTTTCATCTCTAAGTAACAAAAATCTCTAAAACCTACTCTAAAAATAAAACAATTTTATTTATAATGTGTATGAATAGTACTTTTATTTGTTCATTAATAATGATAATACAATGGATCAAAAATAATTTATTATTAGTGATGTACAGCAAACTAGAGATGGGAAGGTATGTAGGTAACAGGTGAGGATAAAATAAATATTAAAAAGTTTTTTGAAAATTATAGCTCCTGAAATTTTCCTACTGAAAGTTTTCTATATAACTACCTAACTTTTTTTTTGTTATAAATATATATACACTGAACAAAACTATTTTTTTTAACTAAGTATATATTTACAAAGAGCTTCAAAACGTACAATATCACAATCAAACTCTTTTTTCATGAAGATACAAATGAACCTATCTTTTTTTTTGAAGATCTTTTTTTTCTTTTAAAATTATGACGCGCAACCTTATGGGCGATTTCGTAGTTCTGCTTTCAATCGACAGAGTGAGTGGTTTCCAAAGACAGTGTTGCCAGAACTACTAATAAATCCGTACATTTACGGATTTCGGGTATAGTACGTTAATAATAAGGATTTTTTTATCATTAAACAATTTAATAAAATATCATATAATTAAACAAAGAACGCCGTCAGAGTTAGCTTGGAAATGAAGATCGCTGTTATCTCGTATGTAAAATATTATGGTAAATTTTAATAGCCGTCATTTCCAAGCCAACTAAACGACTTTTTTCGATCACACCACATATTCAGTACCTATAAAAGAATTTTTATTTTTTTTTTGTTTATTCTGTGTTTAACACGAATAAATTTTCAATACACTGGGATTTTTCATCAAATAATATTTTCGTCAAACGTATTACAGATATTACACATTTTAATATGGTAACACTGTCACGAATTCGCCCTTTGGGTTGGGTATCTTCCCAATTCTTTCAATCGACGATAATACTAAAAAGCAACATAAGGCAAGTTTACATTTCAGAATTCTTCTGAAATTGTTATACAGGGTGTTTCAAAAAATATGTGCCACCTCTCGTGGGGAGATTCCTCACTTAAATATAAGATTTATTTTTCATATTAACATAGGTCCGATTCTGATCTGTTTCCTAGCTACAGGGTGATAAAATCTTAATAATATTTCGACTTATTATAATTTTCTTCTAAGTAGTTTTAGTGTGTACTGAACTTCCTTGTTTGTATTTAATTTAATATTTAGCAAGCTATAAAAAAGTATTAATTGTTTTATATCTAGTTCTTGCACTGTATCAAATAATATGTGTGTTGGTGTTCTTTTGTGTAATTTATATATTAATTTTAAAATTTTATTTTGTTGACGTTGCAATGCGCGGAAATTCTTTTCGGTCGTATTACTCCATATATTCATTAAATAGTTCATCCTGGAGGTAAACAGTGCGTGATATGAAGGTTTTCTCATGTTATTTCGTATCAATTTTTGAATTTTTATTACAGCTGCAATTGTGCGTATATTTTCATTTTTCAGCATTACTACATGAGCATCCCATTTCAAATTATTTTGTAGCGATGGGAACTATCGAATGAATTAGACTATCGAATGGTTACTGAATGAATGATTTCAACTATCGAATGGTTTTATTCGAATAAAATCATTCATTCATTTGTATACTAAAGCATATGTGACAACCTCGCCGTGCAACTAAATGGTTATCGTTGAGCTACGACTATCGAATGCTTTTGATAAATGAAATTTAGTATTCGTTTGACTTTTGTGTGCGTCAGTGCATTATTAGTTCTTCCAAATTTTTATAACTTCACCTTATAAATACTGTGCTATTTTTGCGTTTATTAAAATATTTAAAATACTAAAATAGTAGTTTTTTTTAATTGACGATTGTGTGCGTGTGTGCAGGTGTCAAAATTTTTCCAATAATTTGTGTGATTTTCCGTAGCCCGATCTTTCAATTATTTTATTTTATATGGTATATATGGTCTATTTTTTAATGGAAAATTTTGAGAAGTAGCAATTTTTAAGAGAGATGAGATGAACTTAGAATTAATTTTAAAAATACATATTTGTATTTTAGATGTTTTAATAATATGAATTAGTTGAACTTAATAATCATATTTAAGTAATGTGGTTAAGTAAATGGGGTTATCGAACTCAAACTATGGGGTGTGAAAATTAAATTGAAAGTTTTACACGTGCCAATTTAAAAAAAAAGTTAACGATGTTTGTATTTTGTTTATGCTAATTCTCTTACATGTAGTTTTTGCAAAGAAATATTTCATTTATTTTTTAAAGTAAATGCCAGTAAAAGTAAATATTATTATAAAGTACCTAATATAAATAATTTTGATTTCTAATTGTTTATTTATATTTTCCTTCCATTACACTGCATGCTTAGAAAATTAATAAATGTTTATATTTCATGATTTTAAAGTTTGTTGTTAATAAAACAAATTAGTTCTGTAATTATTATTATTTAATAAACCAACGTTGCCACAAAAAATTTAAAGACTATATTATTTTTAAATAGGATCTAATATAAATCATTTTGACATCTAATCTGTTGTTTATATTTTACTACTACGTAAAGAAAATGGTTATATTAAATTATTTTAAATTTTGTTGTTAATAGGTATAACAAATTATTACTGTTATTATTATTTTTATTAAACCAGTCTTTACTTAAAAACATTATTACAAGTATTATTGCAGTGTAACAACAGAATATTAATAAAAAAAATGCAAAATATATAGACATACTATCCCTAACTAACTAAAGCCAAACAATAATATTCTGTGTTAATATCAACTAATACCAATATATGGCAACAGCGCCCTTCATAATGTATTTTCTGTGTAAATACTAGCACCTCAATAAAAAAATAATGTGTCCTTATCTTTATATGACTCCGCAAAAAATCAAAGATGCCGGCTTCTTTCATAGCATTGCCACCGACCGCTGTCGGGTTTCTCGGAAAGACACCTACGTCGCCGGGCGACAACTAAAATCCAGTTAATATTTTATTATAATGGATCCTGACGAATCAATGAATTTCATAAATGAATGAATTTTATAAATGAACGAAACGTAATCGTATTTCAGAAGTAACTATCCGCTATTAAAAATAATATGTATACACTTGAGAGCAAATCGTTGCGAGTAAACTATTGATAGCATAGACTTAAAATAAAATATAGACTGAGCATCTCATTCATAAATAGCTGGAACATGCGGTCAGACAATGTCTTGTTATTGTTGTGTTATTGTTTTAGGTTATAACGAGTGCGACACGAGCGATAGATAGGTTGTCTCTGTCGTAACGGTCGTTCCCTGACGACTCTGCCGAGAAACACAACACTGTCTTTCGTTTCTCAAGTACACCTGAACTCTCCGTATCATTGCCGGGTAATTTTTTTATTTTAATGAAGCTATAATTAAATTAAAAATATATCGTATTTAAACTTTTTTATATTTTATTAAGATTTAGGGCAGGTTTTTTAAATAAAAGTTTAGAAAAAACGTCTTAGAGTCCAAAAAGGATAAAAATAATAAAATATACGTTATAGAAGAAAATTTATAATCAAAATAACGTAATTTTTGAAATTAATAATAAATTATTAATTTTAGTCAAACATTTACAACCCCTAATATTAATCAAAACAGGATCTATTCCACAGATATAATAGAATCGGCGACAGGGAGAAAAAAAAAATATGATTGTTGTAATTTTTTTTCTGGCTAAGTGATGTCTTATGTAAATTAGAGAAAACATAAATCTGCTCCATTAAAGCAAGGAAGGTGATAGGAAGTGGATAAAATGAAAACTACATTTATTTAACTCGGTACTGTCTTTATTATACCGGGTGCGTCCCAAAAGTGGCTCATCCCCATAATTTTTTTATATTTTCAAATAAAAAAACAAGATTTGACATAAATTAGGATTGATTGACGCATTCAATTGTTTTTGGTCACTTCCTGTTTCACCGGAAATGACTACAACTTTATTTTTTACTTTATTCGATAGAAAATTACACTCTGAATAGATTGACATATCGTATGTCAACTTTTGACATTCTCGCATATGGTTTAATTGTAATTGTAACACGCGGTTCATAACGACAATTTGACTCGAAATACCAGGTGTGTGGTATCAATATATTCATAAAAAAAATGCTTTTTCCAAATATGCTAATGAGTCACCCTTGTTCCATTTGAAAAAATTGACATATGTATGATTAAAAATACGATTTGTACATCTTTTAACCGGCCTAGACAAGACACGAAACCCATTAGACGATCAAAACTATTTTTCCAAGGCTCCTTGATTAAAACTTAGTGTTTTTAACAACACCATGGCACCCTGGATTGAAATTTAAAATAGGATTTGTTTTTAAGCGACAATGTCAAAAGTTGACATATGATATGTCATTCTATTCAGAGTATCATTTTTTATCGAATAAATTAGCAATATACCGAGGGTGCCTTTAAAAATCAAAAGATGTAATCATTTCGGTGAAACAGGAAGAGACCAAAAACAATTGAATATGTCCAATAAATCCTAATTTATGTCATATACCTACTAACATACAAATCTGTTTTTTTTATCTGAAAAAATAAAAAAGTTATAGGGGTGAGCCACTTTTGAGACGACCCGGTATATTAAAAAATATTGTTTCATAATGTAATATCATTTTAAAATTCTTGTATGTTATTTTAGATTCTGAAGATAATTTTAGAATAAACCGGAATATATTTTTAATAAAAACATTATTAATTATTAACAGGGTTATAATTATGATTTTGTTACAATGTAAGTAAGTAAATAATGTAATGTAAGAGAAAAAATTCAGATTTTACATTTTACTAAAATATTATCTAAATAAGCGCCTTTCTACAACAACGCCACTGACTCCCAATGGGTAAATTGAGAGTTGCCTACCGGTCAAAAGTCGTTTCAAGACTTAAATGGATTATTTAAGTCAAATTTCTTGCAAATTTGGCACTGGCGAACCATATTTTATAGTTCTTGAACAGAAAAAGTCAATAAAATAAACACTTAAGCACTACAAGCTAAGAAAATGCGTTAATACAGCCGGGGAGATAGCGGCAACAAAGCTTTACCGCACACGTGCGACACGTACTACAAGGTAATAAATGAATGAATAGGCTCCCTCGCCTCTAATCGGTGTTGTCATATTGTAAAGAACTTATCCTTTTTAAACAGTATCCGACTTATAATTTAGTAGTATAAGGACTATTTAATACATCTCTGGAATATTAAAACCTACTTTATTAAACTGTAGTATTAATATCTCAATATATGTGTATAACAAGAAAAAAAATATTGATAATATTAAAGACGTGACAACATAGGCTGGATGAGGAAGGCTCGGTCGACTGTACCCAGAAGTAAACATGTGTACAAAAAATATTGTCTGTCCGCGTTGAGATGTAAATAGTGTAGTCTATATTTTATTTTAAGTCTATGATTGATAGTAAAATGAATATTCTCCGATAGGTAGTGACAGACGTGTATCGACATGCGAGAACTACTATCGAGAGTTTGTCGCGCGAGTAATACTCTCAAATGGACACTTACCATAGACTTGGATCAAGGCAAATTAATAAAATTGCCTTTATCTCATCAAGGAGACCAAAATCGACAAAAAATAAAGAGGCAACTTTTAATCGGCTTTTTCAGCTTTAAAATAGGTCACATTTATAGTAACTTTTACCCTAAAAATTTCATTCGAAACGCTAAAACTACTTGGAAGAAAATTATAATAAATCGAAAAAATATTAACACTTTAACACCCTGTAGCTACGAAACAAAGCAGAATCGGATCTATGTTGATATGAAAAATAAATCTTATTTTTACGTGAGGAATCCTCCCTACGAGAGATGGAACATGTTATTTGAAACACCCTGTATAAAAGCATTTTTTTAATAATGTAATTTGAAATCATACAATAAAATTTTGAACCATACAAGTCTGATCTCTCAATCCATTATTTCTTCTCTCCTAAAACTGTCTTTCTACTACGAGTATTTCGTTTTGTACCAAATAAATACAAAGAAACTTAGTTTTTTTTTGGTCTTGTGACCTCCTTATTTTTTTTTATATATATATAGGTATATATATACAACAATACATAAAACAGATCAAACACCATAAGATTTCGTCTAAAGCATATAAACCTCTATATTACAATTCATCCAATAAAAAAAAAACACCGTTTTTCTCAACCGTTCTAACACACAAACATATTACCAGAGGGCGTCCCAAACCCACCCCCTCCGCATCCAGGAGGCGGCGGATCGTCGTTCTTCCGTTGTTTGTTCGCCGCGTTGCCGTCCTTACCCAAAATCCTATTTTTTTGCTCCATATCGTTCTCTGACTGATCTTTAGTCACTGCCGTTTGTAATGCAAGCGACAACCTGTTGCAGGGTAAATTCTCCGGTTCAGACATGTCCTCCCTAGCGTAGAACAATATATAGGGCGTTTCAGGAGGTTTGACCGTGTGTAGATTTTGTTCTGTGGTCTTGCTCACGGTGCTGTCGTTGAACTTGTACCATCCCGTTGAGTCTCGGGCAAAAGTGTAGTAGTGTCCGGAGTCTACGGTGTTGCCGCAGTGCACCACGGCGGCGTACAGGTCGAAACAGGAGCCTTCCAGGCAGATTCGGCTCTCCAGGTTCACTCGCTGGAGGAGTTTTGTACGCGTTTGGGATACGGAGTCGAACCGGAAGTGTTTTAGGGTTAAGATAAGATGGCTGGGGATTGATACGATTTTTGTAATCCTCTCGCCATCTGAAACGGAGAGAATAAACGCTTTTTTATCGCAAAATTTAACGAAACGTGAAGGTACACTTTATTCTTGGAATAGGCTCAGTCAGATAAAATTTGTGTTGTCGGGTCTGAAAACACCAATTAAACGAAAAGTTTGTGACAGTACCGCTGTAACAGTGTTGCCAGAATTGACGGATTTCCTTCAAAATGAAGGATTTTACAGTCAACTTCCGTCGAATGAAGGGCTGAAGAATGTTTATCCAAAAAGAAGAGAATACGAAGGTTTCTGGCAGTTTTGCGCAATAAAAATTGTTAAAATATATGTGGTAGAAGTATTTATTGTTTTTCCTACATCTATTTTTTCACTTTAACGGTGTTTAATTAAGGACGCCTCAGTTTAAAGCAATGTTGCTGTCAAAAATATCTATCACAGCATTTTTAATCGTGTTATTTTTTTAATAAAAAGTTATCTAAATACATCGCTGTCCAAAAATTGTAAAATGTAAAATACACGAAATTTGATGATTTTTCAAAAGATCTGGAATTTTTGGCGAAGTTGAAGGAATATGAAGGTTTTTGAAGGCTGTGTTGAAAGAATTCGCTCGAAAATTTCTGGCAACACTGCGCTATAAGACACACAAGTCATATAAAACTTGTTTCTGAACACTTATTTTTTATGACCAGTTGAACTTTACTCATCGTGTAGTAGACCGGGCATAATATACGGAAATCTCTACAATAGCAGGGCCGAACGTCAATTTTCGGGTCTGAGATTGATGAGAAAATGTAATGTTAAGCGGTTTAAAAAATTCTATTTACGTATATAGAGATTTATATAGCTAAACATTCGCAGTCCCGGGCCTGAAAGTCGGCTTTCGGGCTTGATATTACCGAGGAAACGTAGTTTTGGGCTAGTATAAGCGGTTTAACAAATGTATATATATAAACAGAGTTGTATATAGCTAAAAAAATCATTTCATACCGAGGCCCGAGTCTGAAAGTTCGCTTTGGAGTCTTAGATTAATGAGGCCACGTAGTTTTAGCTAGTATAAGTAGTTTAATAAATGTATATACGTTTATAAAGGTTATATAGGAAAAAAATCAGACCCGGGCCTGAGATCAATAAGGAAACATAAAAATTTGGGTAAATATAAAGTGTTTAATAAATGTATATACAAAAAAGCGTTAATAAAGCTAAAAAATATTATATTCGGACCTGAAAGTCGAGTTTTCTGCCTGAGAATAATACGAAACGAAGTTTTTTTCCAGTAGAAAAGGTTTAATAAATGTATATATGTAAATAGAGGTATATAAAAGTGCGAGAATCTCAGATCCGGACCCGGGCTTGAATACCCGTTTTCGGGTCTGAGATCAATGAGAGAATATAGTTTTAAGCGGTTTAATAGATGTATATTGGTTTAAAAAGCTGTATATAGTTTTCTTTATGCTGAAATACCTGTATATAGATGTAAATAAATGGATATACATGCAGACCAGTGAATTTTTAATAGATATTTACCTGTTAGCCTATCGCACGTATCACATCTGTACTGATTATCTCCACACAACTTCTCTGATTGCAAAAAGTACTCCAACAAGGACTGCACGCTATTATTTTCGACGTTTTGGGGAATCGAGAGTTGCAAGTCCCTAAACTCGTCGATTCTCTCACTTTTGGTACCACATTCCGCGCACCTGGACACTGTAACCGTTTTCCCGCCAAAAGACTGCTGGACGACGGTCAAAGGTGGTTCTGCAGCAGCTTCTTCACCTAATAGAACGTTATTATATAGAAATAAACCATTTAGAAAAAGTATTACACCTACAAGAGAACATAATAAACTCTATTTCATATATTTTCTTAGAACATAACCTCTAAAAGACTTAAAAAAATTAAAATATCAATTATTTATATGAATTAACAACTGAGGAATCTGTCAACGTTACTAGTAGTTAAAAAAAGTGACCTACCTTCACTAGAACTGATCACACACGTCTTGCTCTTCTCCTGTTCGTGTAGTGTGTCCAGAAGGTACCCCAAAAACTCAGAACTGTCATGTTGATGCCCCAAAACAAACCCTGGAGGCCTCAGAAGCGTCAGAATATCATTGGGAGACAAACAAAACTTCTTAGAATGCTGAAGCAGAGCAAACAAAATTTGAAGCTTGGAAAACAGTGGTAACATTGTTTCAGACTGCAAAAGCACTTGATTACGGAAAGCTTTGGACATATAAAGTGCCTGAAGAACACTATTCATATAGCAAGTGTTTCCTAGGTTATACAGGCCGACCTTTTCATTCAAAGACCTCACAGGAGTCACTACTGAAGCACTATTTGACCAACTATTACAGTTTAGTGGATTTTTAAAATTATTTGTTTGCCTAGATGCTTTTATGGCGTCCTGAACCGGTGCATATAATTCTGGATATCCAGCAAAGTGCTCCATAAGGGCATTAAGTAGGTTAATAAGCTGAAGCAAGCAGGCTTTTCCTGCTTCATCTTTGGCAATCATTTTAATCACTTTGGGAGTGTGTGGTACGATTTTGTGAAAGGCCTGAGGATTGTGCTGGACCCTGCTGAGCATGTGATGCACCACAGGCCAAACACATCTCCGACTAGCCGGAAGAAGAACTAGTTTAAATAAAGGTTCAATTGTGCTTAGTGTTACATCAATTAGAATATCGTAAAAGTGTTCTTGCTCTAATCCTCGCATAAATGCCAGTACTAAAGGACCTAAATTCTCTGTATAAGTCCATTTAGTCAGCCAGGTACATAATGTATGTAAGGCTGTCTCTAAACTTTGCTCAGGATATCCGGAATTTAGGATAAACTTTACAGCAGCTAAAAAAAAGGTTAGTTTTATAAAAAGAAACAAAGAAAATTAATAAAAGTACCTGATAAGTCTTCTATGCTGATCAGTTGAAGTACTATGGACATTACTGGGCTGGGACTTTTAGTTGGGTTCGAAATTTCATCGTACAAAGCTTTCAGAGTTACAAAAATCACCTCGTTGCTGTTATTGGCACATTCTTTCATTAAAATTCCTTGTACACTCTTCACATCTTCGATGAATTTCATGTAAGATGTCGGGTCACTAGGTACAGCCACAGTTCCTATAAAAAATCACATAAAAATGAAAAGAATCAATTATGAAGGTAGAAAAAATACCGAGACATGTGACAATATTTCCATAGGTTTGAACCTGTGTCCCATCACGAGCTTGAAGTCCTTGTAAAGCTCTTAAAATAATTTGTAGTCTTACTTCAGGGGATGAAGGGACAGGGCCCAATACGTTCTTTTGTTTCACTGCCATGTTTTAATATTTTTGCTAAAACAAAAATTCACCTAGATTAGTAAATAAACAAATGCTTGACAGTACTTAAAACTAAAAATATAATTAATGCATAATAAATAAAATCGTAGAATTCAAGGATATGTAACGCTAAAATTACAATTTTGGAGATATCATACAGTTACATATAAGCAGGTGTGCATAAACTGGAAAATAAGTGCAACAAAAATATTGCAGTTGAGTCACCTTTACGTCGCACATAAGTGGAATCTCCTACTTTGTTTTTGTGTAGCCGAACTATATTTATACCGATATTTTTGTAAATTTTTAAAGGCAAATCATTTTTTGCAGTTTACTTACCTCCTATAACCTTTTACGTCAAATCAATGTCATTTCTGGACGATTTATGGTAAAATTGCTAGGCAATTTCGTAGATGGTGTCTATTTGGCCAACACAGTAATTTCAGCACGCTAGAATTTAACTGAAAATAGTGAAATTTATTTATTTCTACTAAATTTGCGCGAGAAACCACTCGAAAAGTAAAAAAAGGCAACTGGGAATGACAGCTGACAGATTTGAAAGGGGGGCTCAGATGACAGGTCGGTTTACATGATCGATATCCTAAAAATTGAAATTTGCGATTTGAGTTTCATGACAATTTGGCGAAGGAGATTTAATAAATTTTTGAAAAACTGAAAAAGGATTTTATTTAATTTTAAATCAAAAAATTGGAAATGACAGCTTACAGATTTTGTGGCGCGTTGAGGTGACAGGTTGGTTTTTAAATTCGAAATCTTAAAAATTAAAATATCTAGAGAGACTAATTATTCTTGACAATTTGGCGAAGGAATTTTATTTAATTTTTCGAATTATTTTCTATATTTTTACGTTATTTTGGCTTGGGATTATATGGGACTAAATTGAAACAAAAATTTCGTAAAAAAACATAGATATCACATTTATTGACAACGCAGTCATTAAGTAGGTATACAGTTCGGTTTTCAGTAGATTTTTTTATTAAATAAAAAAATTGGCATATTTAGAGGAATTTTGTAAATTACAAAGGGGCAGTTCTACGTATTTTCTTATTATATTTTTATTTGGGCTCGTTTCAAGCTAAAAAACTTCAATCAAACGTCGGGATTTTTGTACAGAGTGTAACATCAAACATTTAGTTGAGTTGATTGAGGTTTTCTAGAAATATAATAACAAAATATCGTAGGAAATAGTTTATTCTAAGTTTATACATTATGTACAGTAGTTAGTTTATTTTAAAATGTACAAAAGGCTTTGATAATGTTATTTATAAACAAGTATGTAGCGATTTTTTCTGATATAATTCAAGTTCTATACAAATTACGTCTAATAGAACCAGTTATTGCACTTATTTGAATATCCATCACAAATATCCATATCACAAAGCTGTTTCTAACACTGGTCCTCATACGTTCACAGTACCTCCGCCATCTTGTCCAGAATCAATTAAAGGAGCGGTATCGGTACCTTTTCCAGTACCATTTTTCACTTCCAGCCAAGGTGGTGGTGGTACCAAGCTCATTTCCGAACTATCACCGAATTTAACGGATTTTCTCGGGGCTCTGTTGATCAATGTGGGAGGCTCCACGTAGCTTGGGGCAGCTCCGGTGGGGCTGTGAGTGGGAGTAGGTCTGTCAATGTAGGTCAAAGGTTTTCTTTGGTGTGAACTGAGGTAACTGGTGGCTGTGGGTTGGGTGGTACTGTACTGAATGTTGGGTACCTGAAAAAAAATATATATTTTTTTAATTTGTTTTTTTTTGGATTGGTGTTGAAGTACCCTCATGATTTCGTCATCTATGGATCTGCCTCTTCCAGCCTTGTATTCTTGGTACTGTGATATCACACAAAGTAAGGCATAAAGCTGAAAAAGAACACTAAAGTTAGTAAATATTAGTTTTTATTATAAATAAAAATAGTAATGAATGAATGAAATCGTATATAATTAATATATGATAATTTTATATACAGGGTTGTTCACCACATATGACACGGAGTATTGTAGCTAAACGATTAGATTTTTACAAAATGTAAGTTTTGGGTTCGTTGAAGGACTATTAGAGCTACAATTTAAATATATTTTTACAAGTTACAGAGTGTCCCAAATAAATAAAAAATATCAAAGTTGTATTTTTTTAAATGGAACACCCTGTATATTATTGCATTTTTAGTTTCTACGATTAAAATAAAGGTAAATTTGAGGTTTATTACACTTAAACCTTACCGTTTTTGAAATATTTTCAATTTTGCTTAATTGCAGTATAAATTTTAAGGCTTCATTTCTCAGAGGATATCAAAGTTTTTAATACTAAATATTTACTGAAGTTTATTTATTGATCAGTTATTGTGTTGCAATAATAAAAATTATACTACCTTATACAGAGTGTCTAAAAAATTATTTTAAATAATTACTAGTTCTAAACGGCAATAACTTATTTACTTTAAATAGAACACCCTGTATATTTTATGAGAATCAGATGCACAATTTAATTGTCTATCAAATTGTATTATACCACTTCTTACCTATTCTTTCAAGTTTTCGTAGAAAATGCATTTTCTTATAATTTAGACTTCATTTATCGAATATCATTTAACAAATGCAAAAAATGTACAGGCTAGTAATATTATCGTTTTTAGTAAAACGATAATATTACTAGCCCATTTGTATGCAAAAAGAAAACTATCTAAATCTTGATAAAAGTGTATACCATTAATTAAATATACCACCAGTATTTCCGTCCAAATACTAATTAACTACATACTTAATTGTGTTCGTTAATAAATTATTCTAAATAAATTTAATGTGGATTTGAATCAGAAATCAATATAATAATAAGTTATGAAAATTAACGTCTCTGTTGTTATAAATAAGCATTTGTCAAAAAATTAAATATCATTTTTAAGGTGTTACTTTTTACCACACTGTCTAATACACATACATAATTCACTTTTTTAGTATTTGGAGCAATTATATATAATATATACGAACTATATCGACAATATTAGTATCTGTACTCTTTAAAAATTTGCTACATCTTTAAAAATAATCTAAAATGTCAGTATTCCATGGGTATATTGATAAATGAGTTCTAAATTACAACAAAATGCATTTTCTACGGAAACTTGAAGAGATAGGTAAAAAACGGTATAATACAATTTGACAGACAATTAAATTGTGCATCTGATTCCCATAAAATATACAGGGTATTCCATTTAAATCAAACAAGTTATTGCCGTTTAAAGCTAGTAATTATTTAAAATACATTTTTAGACACTCTGTATAAGGTAATAAAGTTTTTATTATTGCAACACAATAACTGATCAATAAATAAACTTCAGTGAATCTTTAGTATTAAAAACTTTGATACCCTCGGAGAAATGAAGCCTTAAAATTTATACTGCAATTTCACAAAATTGAAAATATTTCAAAAACGGTAAGGTTTAAGTGTAATAAACCTTTATCAAATTTACCTTTATTTTAATCGTAGAAACTAAAAATGTAATAATATATAGGGTGTTCCGTTTAAAAAAATACAACTTTGATATTTTTTATTTATTTGGGACACCCTGTATCTTGTAAAAATATTTTTAAATTGTAGCTCTAATAGTCCTTCAACGAACCCAAAATTTACAATTTGTAAAAATCTAGTCATTTAGCTACAATACTCCGTGTCGTATGTGGTGAACAACCCTGTATATCATATTATGTAATTTATACAGGGTGTCCCAGAAATAACGGTAAGTATTTTAAAAATTTAATTTAAGAAATTTTTTGAAAATTTTTTTGGAAATTTGTTTTTGCAACTCCGTTATTTTGGACTTATTTGAAAAACGATAAAGAGAAAATACGTTTCTTTTATCGAGATCTACCATCCCTTAAAATACTAGCAGTTATTTCTGGAACACCCTGTATTATAAGTTTTTCCTCCAGAGAAAATTTGTTTTTTTTTAAACTATGTTTAGCCAAAAATCATAGAGAATAATTATTAAGATTTGCTTTTATTGAAGCTCATAAATATCTTTAAACAAATATTGAACCGAAAATACGAATTTTACAAATAAATTACTCTAAAATTATTCGAAATTTAAGCTGTTCAAACATTGTTTCAGAATTTTAATAGCCACAGATGAAACCAATCAAACTTATCCTGTTTATTTTTCGTAAAATTCAGAGGGAAATTTTCGAAAAAAAGACAAACTTACGTTCAAAGTATTGAGGAAAAAGTCTATGGTGATCAAAACTGCGACGGATGGATTCCATTCGAGCTAGAACAATAAATAATGAGTTATTTTTATACCTCCGAGCTTCTTTGAAGTTAGTAACAATAATATTTTTATTATATTAAAGCCTCGAAAAATGCAGACGGAATTTTTAATGTAAATTATAAAAGATGGTCCTTCACAAAGAGAGGAAAAATGATATAATTCCTAAAAAAACAAGGTTTGTATAACGGGTTTTCTCCTGTTTGAGCTTATATTTGCTTGAATCAAATATAATTTACTTTGTTTGAACCATTAAATGCTATTTTAAGAGCATTTTTACTTCTTTTGGTTTATTTTAATCCTTTTAAAATATATCTATAGGCTTTTTTAAGTAATATTGAAATTTTGGAAGAAATTATACCAAAAACTCATACTTACATCGAAAATATTAGCCATGAATTACACTACCGAAGAAAAAGTATTGATGATTAAATGGTATTATCAAGGAAATAGATATCAAAAGGTGTCGGACATGTTTGCTGCTCTGTATACGAATAGACCGATACCTGGAAAATCTACAATCGCAAGGAATATCCAGAGATTTGAGACCAAAGGTACCCTAATAAATAACTGCAGATGTGAAGCAAGGCAGGAATAAGGAGAAGATACAAGAAATGATACCGACTTGGAAGTTTTATTATACGTGGAAGAGAACGATGGAAAGACCAGCACAAGGAAACTTGAGGATGAAATAGGAATAGATCACACTACAGCGTTTCGAATTTTGAAACGACATAAATACTACTCCTACAAATATGAAAAGCACCAAGAGCTATGAGATGGGGACGAAATACGGCGGCTGGCGTTTTGTTTTGATATGATGGAAAGAGCAAACACGGATAGGGAATTTTTAAAAAACATATGTTTCACTGACGAATGCACGTACCTTAAATAATGAACCCAATGTTCAAAATTATCGATATTGGAACAAAGGAAACCAACACAGGTTTGTCGAAACAAGGACGCAATATCCACAGAAAGTAAATGTTTGGGCAGGGATATTCGGACACAATATTATCGGGCCATTATTTCTTACGCGAAATTTAAATGCAGAATATTATTTGGAACGACTCGAAACTCATATTTTACCTGCTTTACATGATGCCGCTAGGGAAAATCAGGAAGTTTGGTAACAAATGGATGGCTGCCCGGCACATAGTACCCTGGCTGTTTGGGAATATTTAGACAATAGTTTTAACGGAAACGTTATTGGCCTAAATCATACAGTAAATTGGCCAGTAAGGTCTCCTGATATTTCGCCAAATGATTTCTTTCTCTGGGGCCATTTAAAAAAACAGGATATACAAGGATAAAAAATACCCAAATCTAGACGAGTTAAAAAATGCTATTTCTGCCGAATGCAATAGAATTTCAGTTTACCCACTAGCGAATGTAAGAAGAGAATTTTATGATCGCCTCTGGGTTATTGTCTAGCAGTCGATGGAGGAATATTTGAACATCTTCTTAAATCCTAAAGTTCTAACAATTTAATAGTACCTAAATTAATAAGTTATTGAATATTGTAATAATACTATAATTAACCTTGTAATTGATTACTTTATTTTACTTTAATTCGTATTAATTTGTATTTATAAATACATCTTTAAGTATATGAATATACAGGGTGTTTATAATAAACCTACGTTTAGACTTACCGCGTGAACGATGAGTCCATATATGATATAAATTACGTCCACTATCGTGAAAAATGTCATGTTGAAGATCCAAGGAATCAGCAAATATTTGATATCCTGAAACATGTAAAATATGATTAATTTTAAGGCTTAATTCTTAACTGTCAGTCTAGCCGATTCAGTAAAACTGACAGGTGAGAATAAGCATTTTTAGAATAAATACCTACACCAAAAGATAGATGATATTTGTAGAATCGCACTATATGCGCATATTTGAAGTGATATTTCTTACAAACAGCTATTAAATTGAAGGAGTTAAAGACTATGTTCGAAAAAGTGACATATACAGGGTGCTACAAATTCGAGGTACGAGCATTGGTATCTCGGAAACCGTAAGGGATACGAAGATGGTTAAATTAGGGCAAAGTTGCGCCTTTAGGATGTTCACCAAGATGCCATCAAAAAAGTTTTAAAAATTTCAAGGATTGCTGAGTTTTTTGGAAAAACGGATTTTTTTGAAAATAAATTTTATTTTTTCCTGACGTTACTTTTTAGAAAATCAAAAAACTATTTGCACATTCTCATGGCTATTTTATTAGGGCTATCTGATGGTATTTTTAGATTTTGAAATTAGCTGATAATTTGTGAGATACAAAGGCCAACTTAATTTTTTTAAATAGGGACCTGCATGAGTACAATTATATGCCACACTTGATACTTTATTTTACTTTAGGTACCTTAACAATAACAAAACTATTTAATTATTATTTACTACTTATAAGTCCGACTCTGGTTTTTTAAATTATTTACTCTGATTATATTCATCGCAACAATATGGATCAGCGCTAATCGTTAATTAACATTGAATCGAGCCAATTGAAAGATTCAAATAAATAATATCCTGGTCAGCAATTTAAAAATATTATTTTTAACTTTTTTTATTGTGAATTTGAAATCTCTGTGTACGATCTAATAATATGCATAATATTAATCGTAGTTCTTATAAATAAATCAGCTTCTACAAACTAGTTTCTAATGCTCTAAATGTTCGAAAGGGTTACAACCGTCCATAATGCACAAATTGTATTGTGTGTTCAATCTTATTTATAGCTCTTTGAATATATATCTTCTTCTTATACTTCCGAATAGTATAGAGTACAGAATGCCTCTTTATTGTAAATGTTGAAATGTGTTGTCACTTGTTGTATTTCACATTTAAAAATGACGTCAAGTAATGCCCAATAATTTTATATTTAGCTTTTTCGTTTTCCTGTTATTACCGATTCTGAACCGTCCTAGAACTCTGCAGCGCATGCGCAAATGAAATAATGTCTTCATATTTCCTTCTGCGCATACGCATCACAGTTCTAGGACGGTTGAGAATCGGTAATAACAGGAAAACGAAAAAAGCTATTATTTGTCATTATTTTATTGCATTTGATTTTCCGTATTCAATGTTTTACACCACGTCATTGTTAAGTTTGAAAGCTTAACAATATTGTAACGATGAATAGATTAAATTTAAAAAAAAACAGAGCCGGACTTGAAATTAGTTTAATTAAATTGTGTTCAAATGTCCGAAACAAACAAAAATATTAAGTGTAGCATATCATTCTACTCAGAAGACCGAGTTCTTTCAAAATCTGAAATAAAAAATGTAGGTCCGTATTTAAAAAAAAATAAGTTGGGCTCTGTATGTCACAAATTATCAGCTAATTAGAAAATCTAAAAATACTATCAGATAGCCCTAATAAAGTGACTATGAGAATGAGCAATTAATTTTTTGATTTTCTAAAAAGTAACGACAGCAAAAAAATAAAATTAATTTTCCAAAAAACTCAGCAATCTTTGAGATTTTTAAAACTTTTTTGATAGCATCTTGGTGAACATCCCAAGGCGCAACTGTGCCCCTATTTAATCATCTTCGTATCCCTTACGGTTTCCGAGATACCAATGCTCGTACCTCGAATTTGTAGCACCCTGTATAATGCTGTTTTAATATAAATATTATTTTTAATTTATTTCTGTAATCTGGACATTTTATGTTGCCTCAATAGCCTGCAAATTTTGTGGAATACCACCCAAAATACACACTTTTATCCAAATGCCTAATAATGTTAACGCTTAAATTTATTTAAGAAGAAAAACAATTTTGAACCTAACCAACAATTCGGATTTATATGGTTCGCAGTAATTTTGGAAAATTATACGAATATTCCCGTTGATTGTTGGTTTGAAATAAATATGACAATGTCCTCCAATGAAAATGCGAGTTGCTTAACTCTAATAATTCTAATTATGAGCTAGATGCTTTACCTAGACCGTTATTCAGAAGCTACAGAAGATACTGGTACACAGGTATAGTATCATGTTTATTATAGTGATTTTCTTAGCCGCTTATGACACAGATCGTTACCCAGAGTGAGTTAAATTGTTCTACAAAAGGCTAGCTGTGGCAACACTGCTGTTTCACTTCAAATCTGCTTTGTTTACAGAGAGAGAATGCGTTTCGAGTATCAGTTCTATGATATACAAACTGGAATGCTTTCTAAATGTATATCTTGTAGACGTTTTAACCAATTATGGTGTATATTTTCTCTATTTTGTTTAAAACGATTACATTATTATTGGTATTAGGATATTTTAATGTCTTGCTTACCTTATAAATTCCGTAGAACAGGAGAAGAGTTGTTACAATGCCACAAGAGGAGAAGGCAAATATGAGTGCAGAAAATATGGCAGATGCTGAAAAAAGACAGAAATTCAGTAAAAATGACGGTTACAGACCTACATACAGAGTAGAATTATACTATAAATATCAAAATATATGTAAAGGCCCAATATGTCCACGGAATATTGGGACACTCTGTATAATTTTTTTTGTCTAAAAGAAAATAGCATCAACAGTTGTTTTCAAATCTCAAAATACAATTTTTTTCTAACATTGTAAATACCTCTAATAAAATACCGACATACACCAAGAGCAAACATTGAGATTAAATCTTAGATATTGATTGTTATTTGTGAAAGAATTCTCTCAAGACAAATTGTTTCTCCTTATTTAATTTATCAATGTTTGTACAAGAGATCAAATACAAAAATTACATTCAACCTCTCAAGAATATACGTCAAAATTGTCAAGGGAAAATGGAATTTTTTCATGGTGCAATTATAAGAGCTATTTAAAATTTAAAAACTGTTATACAGCAAAAAAGGAATAGAGTGAATGGAATGGAAAGAGAATTAAATGCTAACTCGCATAATGCTGAAAGAAAATTCTGGTAATTTTGGCGTGAATAAAAAGGTTAAATAGTACTTTTTATGTCTGATGACGGAAAAAAATAGCTATAATAATTATGGAACGATATTAAGAAAGGACCACAATAATTTATTTTACGTGTTATGAAAGTAAGAAAATAAGTTCAGTTGAATTAAATTATTTTTAATGCAGGATTAGTAAAATGAAAAATTTAAAAACAAATAAAAAAAATTGAAAAATACATAGTTTTTTACTTTAATAAAATGATATGTAAATCTCCATCAATCTATAGTTAGTTACATTGTGGCATAGTACTAATAAATTGTCTTATATCGTGTCGTCCTGGTCATAATCAAACTGTAATTACCTCATTAATATGATCGGTTCTATAGCCAATAAGGGTCACCAAGTCGTCTATCGACTATCTAAGATCAACCAGATTGTTTAAGAACATGCCTAATTTAATTTTAGATAGTTAACGCCTACGACACACAACAATATTACGACAAGATCAAAATATTGATAGGATATAAACACAGTGTCTTCGAATGAAAACGATGTCATAGTAGCCTTCGAAATTTTACTTCAGTTGGCACGCTATTAAACGTTTTATCTCAATAACTATGACACTTGACAGAGTATATCATTTTTTGTTAATATCTCTATTTATTGTAACTTTACAAAAGACCCTCTATATTTTTTTTATGTAAAAATGTTTTATCTCAAAGAAAATAATAAAAAACTTAAATTCCGTTAAAAGTGGACTAGAATAAAATACTAGTAATGTACAGTGCTATCGATATTTTAAAAATATCGATACAAAATGGTATCGATGTTTTGGAAAATAACGATACAAAATGGTATCGATGTTTTGGAAAATATCGATACAACACGTATTGTCTCCTTATAGCTTCGCAATACGTTAAAGCTATTAAAGTACTGGCGTTCGTATCTATCTATGGTTCGTATTATATATCTCAATAACTGTGACACTTGACAGTGTCTATCATTTTGTTTATACATCTATTTATTGAAACTTTACAAAACCCTCTATATTTCTTTTTTTCATCTCATCAAAAAATTTAAGATATTAAATCCTGTTAAAAGCAGAATAGAATAAAATGCTAGTGATGTACCGTGATATCGACATTTTAAAAATATCGATACATGTATCGATATTTTAGAAAATATCGATACAACCCATATCGATTATATTTTCTAAAAATGCACATCTCTAGTTCTCCAATTTTGTCTCCTTATAGCTTCGCAATCGATAAACAAGGCAGAACACGTAAATGGAGTGGGAAACGTTTAAGCTATTAAAACACTGGCGTTCGTATTATGTACCTACACACACGGGAACAGACCTGTGCGAGTGGAGAGTCTAATTAAATTTGTCAAGTTGTCAGAGAGCTGAGAGTTAGCAGGGAGGTCGTACATTATCGACTTCCACCGTGCCCTTTGTACCACTTAAAAGATCCTCCTTGGTTCTAATAACAATCTGTTGATGCTATTTTCTTATAGACAAAAAACCTCAGTAGACTGAAGCTAATCTAGTCTCAGATACTGGCTTTTGTCAGAGCCCTGAGACTGTATGATGAGTTATAGCCAAAGAAAGGGAGACACAATAGAGTTATAAGGTCAGAAGATGACGATACGAAGACTAGTTTAACATTGGTATCTCACACTAACTTGAAGAAGCTGCGAAAACAAGAAAAGGAAGAGAAACATGGGAGTAAAGGTATACATAATGTGAATTAAAAGAAACTTGTTAAATTTTACTGTGTATTTAACCCTAATCACGTAATAACACCCAGATTAGAATTGTTACATCTAATTCTACAACAAATACCTTCGGTAATAGCATCAGAAATAAATAGACAAAAAGCCGTATAATCAGGAAATAAATATTCAAAACGGCACCTCGCGAATTCGTTTAATTTAATAATTTCGGAGAGCAGACATCTTGCAGGGAAATTTTCATCTAAATTGCACTTTGCAGACGCGACGACGATGAAATATAATTTTAGTGTGAAAATACGTGCCCCGGACTCGAATTTTCCCGGCGGTTTTCTTAATTTTCCTTCATTTTTATCACCCAAGATCGGCCAAACTTTGTAATTATATATTTCAGAATTTTTAAAGAAGTGTTTTCTTATTTTGGTTGTTCTGTATTGATTGGTATTGGAACATATTATCGTACCATCATCATCATCATCACCATTTTCAGTTTATTCAGCCACTTCCAATTAACAAAAACATACAAAATAAAGAAAACGTGTATCCCAAAAAAAACGATTATGTAATTCTACAAATTACTCCAAAACCATATTACTTCTTTTTTTATATTAAATTATTCATCATCATCATCATTTTCAGCTTATCCAAACATTTCTAGAATTTCTAGAATATTTAAATGCTCCTGATTTTATCTAATCTGGTTTTTTTATGGGGATATGTTAAAGACAGTGTTTACAAAACTCGACCAACTATTGTCGACAACATGAGAGAAATTATTGCAGCTGCTTTTCGAGATAGAACTCCACATATGCCTTTTAAAATGAAAAGATCCTTTTGAAAAGACAATAATTTTATGCAGTTAACAGGAAAGGAAGCACTTTGAGCATCTGATTTCATCTAGCTAATTTTTGTCACATAATTATAGGTTTATATCTAGTTTTAATTCTGTAGTAATTAAAATAATATGTTTTAAACGTGTATCTTTTTATTGCCCATGAGTATTTTACTCTACAATCTTTAATTTTTGTTAAATTAACAAAAGGTATATCACAGTCACCCTAGATTTTTTCAAATAATAAAGATCTACTGATGCAAAAGCATAAAAATTAAAATATCTGGGAAACTCTTTATCTGAGGGGTAGGCAACCTTAATAATATTTTGAAGATATATAAATTCCCCATTGAACACCGGAATAATATACTGGGTATTCCATTTAAAATAAAGGAGTAACTTACTTTTAAAAGTGACTAATGTTCCATATTAATTTTGTCTCACATTGTATAACTTTTCGGGTCAAATTTCAATTTAGTTTAACAAACAATGGTTACTGTAATTAAATATCAATCTATACAAGGTCAACCAAAATTTAGGTAGGTATCTCAGAAACTACTTATCGTATAACTTTGGGAAAAAAAATCGACCAAGAAAAATCGCTGGAAATTATTTTCAAGTTCGAAAAAGTCCGCTAGGGGGCGTATCTCTAATGTTTAATCAGAAAACAGGATTTTTCTGGAAAATATGCAGGTGAAGATGTATTTTAAATATTGCTATTTTAATCATGAAATAAAGTGGTGGAGGAAGTTTCTCTCGTTTAAAAGAGATGTTCTTCCTTAATGATCTCCAGTATGCATTTTGTTTTCATAGAGGTTTTTTTGTGGTAGCTAGAGGGCGCTGTTTAACGTCATAACAGCAGGTTATGTTTTTTTTGATAGTTAAATAGAGCACAAAATTTTCAAAATATCAGCGCAAATCGCAACTTTTTATCTTCTCTGTAAGAGAAGATATTAAGAGAACAAATAATATTTTCTTTAAATTTAAAAAAAGAAAAGCTAAATCAAACACAAAAATCTCAAAAAAGTTTAGCGAAACTTCTTGATTATTCTCTTCAAATAAAGCCAGTTCAATGCATATTAAAACACTAGTTTAACCCCTATTATTCCCTTATAGAGTGGGCAAATTGCAAGCGAGCATTGATATTCTAATGCGATCAATTCCGAACTTCAACAGGATTAACGCCTATAGAGACCACTTTCCAATATCCGCGTATACGGACGCATTTGTCCGATTTTCCTTGATTCGATGGAGTCGGTAATAGATTTATTATTGTCCAGGGATATAATTACAGACTACAGACAGAGCTAGCTGGATTGTTTCTAGCGCTATGTTAGTAGTTGATCATGCGGGGTTCTTGGTACAATTAGTTTCTTGATAGTATACAAGATTGTATTCCGGCAGCATATTCTGCAGGTAAAAATAAGTAAAAAAGTTCGTATAAACGTATGTGCTAAAATGCTTAGTTTCGGAGATACAGGGTGTAGAAGTTTTATTTTTATTTCGATTTTTTCCAAATAATTTATGAAGTAACGTCAATATTTTGATGAAAATTGGTGTCTGGGGGTTTTTTGACATGAGAAATTTGATTTTGATGTCAATATGAGTCTTACTTGTAGAGGGCGCCACCTACATATTTTTTAACTGGTTTGAAGAATAATAACTTTTCGTCAGTACTGAATAAAAAAATATACATTTATAACGTTTTTTACATGAAAAAGGTCTCTTGATAAAAATCGCTACGAGTAATGGTTCTCGAGATATTTGGAATCGAAATTATCAATACCTATCATCATTGACATAAATTAAATATGTTGACTAAATAATTATTAGACTGAATTGATTTTGTATCAAAAGTTCGATAGAAACTGTTTTATCATCATTTTTTCGCAGAAAACCTTAGGATTAATTTGAAAAAATAGAAATTTCCTAAATGTATTATTTCAGTCAAATAACTATACCTACTCAATAATCTAGTAATAGAATATAGCTCGACCTCCTCGACGACCAGCTATAAGTTGGTATGAAAGCCTAGTGAACTCTTGAACAAAACACAGGACCTACACCTAACTTACGAAAACGAAGAAGAAAAATTTAGCTACAGATTGTATGTATTGCTACTAGAGGTTTTTTTCTCAACCTTAAAAGGCAGTCTTATATGCCAGAAACAACTTAAGTGACGCCTAACTCTCTGAGCATATATTGAGGAGATTTCCGCTCTATAGTTTTGTTGGTTAGAGTGTTACGTTAGTAGTTAATCAGGTGGAATTCTTGGTAAAGTTCTGTTCGGGAATATTATCTGTTCGTCTACATATATAGCATATAAAACATGGTTGTCTTGTACTACATGTAAAAAATAATCTACTCATGTAGTAATTAGGTCATAAAATTAAATAAACTTATACCGGGTCTTTCTCAAAAAAAAAGTGGCTCAACTCTATAACTTTTTTATTTATTCAGATAAAAAAAAACGAGATTTGGTATTTTAGTATGACATAAATTAGGATTGATTGACTTTGTTCATCAATTGTTTTCGGTCATTTCCTGTTCCACCGGTAATTACTAAAATTTTTCATTATTTAATAGTACTTTTTTAATGAATTTCATAGAAAATTGCAGTTTGAATAGGATGACATATTATATGTCAACATTTGACATTTTCAATTAAAAAAAATTAGCTGATTAAAAATGTTACGACAATTTGACTCGAAATACCAAGAGTGTGGTATCAAATAATTCGTAAAAAAATGCTTTTTCCAAATATGCTAATGAGCCACCCTAATGATGATTAAAAATACGATTTTGCTATCTCTTGCGGCCAGGAAAATACAAAAAAACATTAGAGGATCAAATCTATTTTTCCAAGGCTCCTTGATAAAAAAATTACAGCCATGGCGCTCTAGATTGAAGCTTAAAATACGATTTTTTAAGCGAGAATATCAAAAGCCGACATATGATATGTCATTTTATTGAGAGTCTCATTTTTTATCGAATAAAGTAAAAAATACCGAGAACGCCATTTAAAAATCAAAAATTGTAGTCGTTTCCGCTGAAACAGGAAGCGACTGAAAACAATTGAATACGTCAATCAATCCTAATTTATATCATACACTAACATACCAAATCTCGTTTTTTAATCTGAAAAAATAAAAAAGTTATAGGGGGTGAGCCACTTTTGAGAAACACCCGGTATTGTGTATTAATTATATTCTCTAATTTTTCAGTCAAAATTTCATTTTAATATAAAAAAAAAACTATATTGTTACCTACTTTCTGAGGTGATATCGTGATCGATCATGGACTGGTTGGACAAATTTTTCAGGTAGAGAATTTCTTCGTGCAGCAAATAAGACGATTGGGCGGCATTGACTGCGTAGTAAATCTGCAAGGAAAACATACACACCTTGTTACTTTAGGAAATCGATACCTATTTTACGGGTTTCTTATACTTTGGTAATGTTCTTTCGTGTTTTATGGGGTGTGGAAACAAATAAATGGAGCTTTATTCAACCCCTACTATATCGATATTTATAAATGTTTCTTTTATAGTGAGTGGCACGAAAATAGTGTTTAAAAATTTTAACAGCACTGAGTGAAAATATTGGAAAATTTATATAAAATTTAAAAATCTATACCGGGTGCGTCTCAAAAGTGATAAAACTTTTTTATTTTTTCAGATTAAAAAACGAGATTCGGTATGTTGGTATGTGACATAAATTAGGATTGATTGACGTATTCAATTGTTTTTGGTCACTTCCTGTTTCACCGGAAATGACTACAACTTTATTTTTTACTTTATTCGATAGAAAATTACACTCTGAATAGATTGACATATCGTATGTCAACTTTTGACATTTTCGCCTATGGTTTATTTGAAATATGTAGTAACATGCGGTTCATAACGACAATTTGACTCGAAATACCAAGTGTGTGGTACCAAATTATTCGTAAAAAAATGCTTTTTCCAAACATGCTAATGAGCCACTCTTGTTCTATTTGAAAAAATTCAGATATGATTAAAAATATGATTTGGGCATCTTTTAACCGGCCAGGAGAAGACACGAAAAACATTAGACGATCAAATCTATTTTTCCCAGGCTTCTTGATTAAAAATTAGTGTTTTTAACACAGCCATGGCACTCTAGACTGAAATTTAAACTACGATTTTTTAAGCGAAAATATCAAAAGTTGACATATGATATGTCATTCTATTCAGAGTGTCATTTTCTATCGAATAAAGTAAAAATAAACCGAGGGTGCCATTAAAAAAAAAGTTGTAGTCATTTCCATGAAACAGGAAGTGACCAAAAACAATTGACTATGTCAATCAATCCTAATTTATGTCATATATTAACATACCAAATTTCGTTTGTTTATCTGATAAAATAAAAAAGTTATAGGGGGTGAGTCACGTTTGAGACGCACCCGGTATATAAGCACTATAATTATTAGCGTAACTGGCAATTTATCCTGGAGTTTAGCCCAGGGGGGCATAGGGCTTTTGTTTTTGTTAAAATAAAAAATAATTTAAAAAACACATTTTTTGAATAAAACGTTTTCATCAATATCTTCTATCAATAAATATCATAAACATGGTTATCAAACCGTGTTCCCGTAGATGACTTAAATACCTACAAATTTTCTAAAAAAATAAAAATTAACACATTTTTTGAACACGACAAAATAATATTAACTAAACAACACTAGAAAACGTCATTTTTACTGCATCACAAGCAAATAAAAATTAATACGTAGCCAAGAGTCATAATCCAGGATATCTCTGGGGGGTGCCCAGCAGTACCTGGGGGGGGGGCGGCACCCCCGGGCTTCTCTGTATTTACGCCAATGACTATAATACTGTAAAACACATTTTTGGAAAAGAAGAAAAATTCACTTTTTAGATCACCCTCGTAGAATATTTACATAGAATTGAAAAAAGGGGCAAAAATCATAAGGACATGTGAATAATGAACCAAAATCTTCGAAAAGATTCGATGTATTTTTCTCGTAAAGTTGCACATCGGGAAAAAGGATAAAAAAACAGACAGAAAAACGAATAAACTAGCATTTTCCTCCGTTTAACATAAAATAGGAGATAAGGATTGGAATAAAATATTCAAACGGGAACACTTGGAGAAGAATAAGCTGATTTCCTTATATAACCGGAAAAATTCTACACCTTTAAAAGAAATACCGATAATATTTTTTAGCGGAAATATACAGGGTGGTCCGAACTGTATTCCGGAAACGTCGGCAGCATATTCTGCAGATAAAATAAGTAAAAAAGTTCGTATACTTGTATGTCCTAAAATGCTTAGTTTCGGAGATACAGGGTGTAGAAGTTTCATTTTTATTTCGATTTTCTCCAAATAATATCTGAAGGGGGCGCCACCTACATGTGTTTTAACTGTTTTAAAACAGACAGTTTCTGTTGAACTTTTGACACAAAAACATTTAAAATTTATGATTTTAGTCTAATAACTATTATTTATACCGGGTGTTGCATCGTCGAGTGGGACATAGGAAATCCCATGTAAATTTTAATGGGGTCAATTATTGGCTTCCCTAATTATTTTAGAGAATAATTCTAGTTAGGTTTATTGAAGAGCACTAAAACCCACATTCAAAAGAATAATTTTTAGATATTTTTGATTAGCCCGTTTACGAGTTATCGCCGATTTCTTTTTAAATATTTCTCCTTTCTTATGGCCCTGTATTTACTTATGAGCACCAGTCAAGGTAAAAGATAACTGTCAAATGAAGTTGTCATTTCAGAAATTTATCTATTTAGTGCTTTATTATTATTATTAAAAATTCATACCTACATCGAAAATATTAGCCATGAATTACACTACCGAAGAAAAAATATTGATGATTAAATGGTATTATCAAGGAAATAGTTATCAAAAAGTGTCGGACATGTTTGCTGCTCTGTATCCAAATAGACCGATACCTGGAAAATCTATAATCGCAAGGAATATCCAGAGATTTGAGACCAAAGGTACCCTAATAAATAACTGCAGATGTGAAGCAAGGCAGGAACAAAGAGAAGATGCAAGAAATGATACCGACTTGGAAGTTTTATTGTGCGTGGAAGAGAACGATGGAAAGATCAGCACAAGGAAACTTGAGGATGAAATAGGAATAGATCACACTACAGCGTTTCGAATTTTGAATTTTGAATTTTGAGCTACTGAAACATCCAGTATAACTTGGTTGGTTTGTTGAGAGCTGTTTAAACGGATTTCGGCTTTGTTACTAAAATAGACTGGTGGAAATCATCACAACAACAATTCCTTAAGACCCTTAAATAATTCGGTTAATTCTTGCCCCCTACCCTTTCGTTTCTACCTCCTCTGTTTTATTCTGAAGTCACCCTTAAGACCTTTTGTCATAATTATGTCGGTTTCTTGATAATGGGCTGGTTTTCCCACTCAAAACGCCGTCAAGCCATTGAAAATCTAGGATGCCTAGGGATGATTTCCGGAGTAATTTAATTTCTGAAGATGGGGGACATTAAAAAAAATGTATTAATATAGAGGCTTTAATGAAAATGTGTCTATATTTAGAACGATTATTACGAAGTTATTTATATTAAAACATAATAAAATGGTATTGTATTTAAATAAATCTGCTCTTAAAGTCGATTTAACACTCGCCAAGTCGGTCGGCAATTGACAATGATATGGTGGAGGACGGCGGTTCGAGTTTGGCGTAAACAAAGTAGCCCTAAATTTTTTTCGCAATTTTTTTTTAAAATTTGGAGTTTTCTGGATTTTTTATTTAGTTTTAAAAATATATAATATGGATAATATGGCAACATAGGTAGTAGATTAAATTTACAAGAAAGAAATGCCAGGAAAGATTCAGTGAATAGAAGAGATCTACCAGCCCTGAAAATATTTGCACTTATTCAAGACTCACCCTGTGTAAGTTTTTTGTGGTTTAGTTGGAAAATTCATATTTTTTTTATTATTCGTAGGGATTTTTACCAAGACACAATCACAAAGTCGCAAATGTATATTTTTTTACTCAGTACTTTTATATAGGTCCGCACGAAAAGTTATTATGCTTCAAACCAGTGAAAAAATATGTAGGTGGCGCCCTCTACAAGTAGGAATAATATTGACATCAAAATCAAATTTCTCATGTCAAAAAACTCTCAGACACCAATTTTCATCCAAATATCGACGTTACTTCAGAAACTATTTGAAAATAATCAAAATAAAAATGAAACTTCTACACCCTGTATTTCCGAAAGTAAGCATTTTCGAACATACATTTATACAAACTTTTTTACTTATTTTTATCTACAGAATATGCTGCCAAAGTTTCCATAATACAGTTAGGACCACCCTGTATAATCTTACCGATCTCTTAGGTTCTTTAATAGTTCGGCAACCTCTCTATTTCGAGCCAATGAGCTTCCAGTATTTTCGGTCGTAAAATTTTCAGACGGATCCCTATCAATAACCGTAAATTTTTGATGGAATCCCTTGTTTAACCCGTATCGGTTTCTATTTTAGAAAAATAAGTGTACATAGAGATGCCACGGCATAATGCCATTGTAAATATTTTCTCTACCTTTTTGAAGGGTTTATTTTGAAAGGATATAACCCTTCAACTTTAAGGATTTTCTATTGGTTACGCAAATTTTTTTTAAATAAATTTTTGTGCCCATAGATGAGACAGGATCCTGTTAAAAACCCGCGTGACGGCTCTTTTATTTTTTTCGGTTGTAAGTTCTGAGAAATTTCTTCGAGTGTCTTAGACCGTTGGAGGTTTCTCATTACAAGTAATGGATGGAGTTTTCCATGTTATGTTCCTGTAAAATGCGACAATTCCAAGAAAAGTGTTAACTAGAATGTGAAATGTTTTAGAACGAAACTAAAACTAGTTATTATCTAAGTTTAATTATTTCTCTGAGGTTTCTGCATGCAGCAGTATTCCAAACCAATCAGAAACAAGACTAAACAAAACGGGAATCTAAATTTAAAGTGACCGATTTCAAATTCGAAAAAGACAGGTCGATTTTCAAGGAAAATCGGAGACTTTCCAGCCGTACTACGCTTTTCCTGGCTTATTTATCTAGACAAGGTAAATGCTAGCAGATAACTTTGAAATTACTTTTTGATTTGACGTCCAAAGGACAATTTTATTGCGTTTGATATAAGTAAAATTATCATAAATATATCAGACGGTTCGGGTTTTTGTAATAAAACTTTTACAGACGACTGAAAAACTTACGTGAAGAAAATTTCATATTTGTTTTATAAATACACTAGCGTGTACCAGCGACTTCGTTCGCGTCGAATTAATCATTTGTAATGGTGATGATAAAGCAAAGCAAGAATTTCCATTAACATACAAACTGGATAAATT